TACAGGTGAAACTCTAATAATTAGAATATCGTGCAAAGTTAATTTATTTCACTAATGCAACTTAAAAGGTGAAACTAATATATGAGATAGACTCATTACATGCAAAGCAAGATAATTCAAGCCGTGATTTGTCATAATTGTGATGATTATGGCTTACAGCTCATGAAAACCCCAAGAACCCCAAATCCACAACCTCAAAAAAGTAGATTATTACATGCAATCAGTAAAACAAGGATTGTACATAGAACAATATCGGACCTCTGAAAAGTACAAGCATGCATATGTACTCAGTACTTGGTTTGGACCCCTTTTGCACCACTTACTGCAATTACTTTTGCATGATATTCTAATTATTCGAGTTTCACCTGTATGTACATAAATACACAGTATGTATATATATATATATATGGGTTTTTTTTTAGAGCTGGAATTCTACTTTAAGGTACACGTAGTGAAAAGAGAACTATGAGGTGAGTGAAATTCACTCATCCTCATAGTTCGAGCCGACGTGTGACAATTAAACTGTCACGCGTCGGCTCAATAGATAGGGAAGTGAGCGAACACATACCGTCGCTCGCTCACTTCTCGATCTATCCATGCAATGAGAGGTGACTGTCAGTCACTGCTCTCTGCAGGGATTCCCCCCTCTCCTCCAGCTCTGAGTGGCGGAACGGATGGGGGAGGGGGCGGGTACAGCTGGCTCTGCCTCTAGATAGGCAGAGCCAGCTGTCACTCACGCAGCTGGGTGCATCTCGACAGTAATGTCGGGATCTGTCCCGGCTGCGGCGGTCTCAATATACCGCGAGCTGTAGCCTGCGGTATACTGAGCTTTAAGAGAACCTTAAGAGAACTAAGGGGAAAAACACTGACCCCAAAGTTCTCTTTTAAGTAATTTTGAGACACTGGGTTATGCTGCTGCCTTCAGGAGATTGGACACTGACAAACAAAGCTGTAAGACAGCATAGTGTAACCGCTCTTACTCCCATCATGCTCCTGTCTTGTGGCAAAGCATTAGTAGGAGTGGATGATAGGAATGGAGAGAAGGGACCTCTCTTGCTGCTCACTAGCTTTAGACAACATTCTACCAGACAGGTGCATCATGGCCCTGGATCTGTAAAGCTCTCTGCGGCTAACTCACAAGTGTGATGAGCACTGCAGCAGAGGCCTGGTCACAATACAGGCCAGCCCCACATTTTCCTCTCAGCGGGGTCTGCGGGGTGCGACCTCCGTGGCTATGTCGAGGATCAGCCAAATCAGAAAACTGCCAAGTTAGCTCTGTAGCCATTTGAGAAACAGATCTTGCTAAAATGGAAAAAATAAGTTAGGAATGTTTGCTTCTATCTGAGAAAGAAGACATCCATTCTCCTAGGGCAGCAGCACTAGCAATAAAACTAACATAAAGTGAGTGGTACCGTGGCATTTCTTTTTCCGTAAACCTATGATCTCTGTTGATCTTAATCTGGCCTCTGTTACAATGTCTTATAACATCATGTCTTCAATAAGCAATAGTTCTCTTCTGATTTATTTTTTTCAGTTTTATCAACTGCTTCTTTCTGTGTAACGAAGATGATGAAAACTTGCCATATGACAACTCCAGTCTTGCAGGTTTATTTAACTGTCAACGTGGAATTCAGAAACTTTTGTAAGTTACGAGAATGCTCGAGTCAATGTCCACAACTTGTAGACGTAGGAGCACGCTTTCAGACTTTCTCCTGCAGTTAGCCACATGCACACTCCCAATTCAGCAAGCAGTAACTTTAGAGGATGGCAGAGAAGGGAGCATGCAGGGTCTCCAAAGGAATATCTTAATGAAGTGGAAGGATAGGTGTAGATAGTTCTCTGTCAGAAGGCAGGTAGAAAGGAAGAAGTTGCAGCACTACTTTATCTCCAAAGGGGTATTCACAGCTTATTCTTGCAGATCTGTTATTCAAAAGAATCTGGATCCCAGCCGGACATTTTAAACCCCTTACCAGAGTGATGCCACCTCTCTATATCAACTTAGTCAGGGAGTTACACAGACACATGGCAACATTGATTCAATCCATTTGATTGGGTTCTTTTGGCATGTTGGGTGTATAATTGATAGGACAGTACAAAGTCAGGTGGGGGAGGTTGATTTAATCATTTTGCCCAGCCTGGTCCTTCCAGCATGTCTTTGGAGTGTAGGAGGAAACCGGAGTACCCGGAGGAAACCCACGCAAGCACATGGAGAACATGCAAACTCCTTGCACATAGCGTCCTGACCAGGATTTGAAATGGGGACCCTGAATGCTGCAAGGCAAAAGTGCTGACCACAATACCACTGTGCTGCCCACATAATTTTAAGTAACTATGATGTGTATCCCTTTTTCAGCCATAATATAATACTGGTTGTCTTCTTCACTTTGCAGGTTGTATGAATGTAGCCTAAAGTCAAATTGCTGTGAAGATCTCCGCTCTGTCATTGCAAACCAGTCTCTGACCACACTGAATCTCACACGTAATTATCTGCAGGACTCTGGAATAAAACTTCTGTGTAAGGGGTTAAGAGAGAAGAACTGCATCCTGCGGGTACTGATGTAAGAATTATACTGTTCATTGCATATTAATAACCTGCAGGTCTCTTCACTGTGGTGCTCAGCATGTAGAGGTTAACCAGAAAAGACCAGGACATGAAATTGTTAACTTACTTTGGAAATCAAGAAAATAAAAAAAAAATATGTTTAAAAATAGGACTGGTGATCATTAGGATGCGTCCATTTAATTTAAGTGCCAAATGCCCCAACATTTAATGGACTGTTGAGGCCTCCAACATAAGACTGTTAAGGGGCAGCAATTATGTTTCGTGTAGAGGTCTTAGACATCTGGGCTGTATTCTGCAAGAGCTGAGGTGATAATTATGTTACAAACAAAGCAATGGTTTGCAGGACTCTGGAATAAAATATATGTGTAAGGGACTCAGGCATCCAGACTGTATCATAGAGGAGCTGAGGTGAGAATTAAGCTAAAATACAATAATCTCCAGGATACAGGCATAACTATTTGTGTAAGCAATGCACTCATACAGGCTGTATGTTGCAGGACCTGGAGTGAGAATTATACTGCAGAATATATATAATAACCTGGAGGACTTGTTCTTTAAGGAAATCACTCATTTGGGCTGTTAGGACAAGCCCAAAAAGTTGCTCACTATCAAATTATTCATATCTCTGCAGATTGCAAGACTGTGGCTTGACATCCTATTGTTGTGCTGACCTCTGTTCTTTTATCACTGCAAACCAAACTCTGACCTTGCTGGATCTGTCAAAGAACAAACTGGATGACTCTAGATTAAAAGTTCTATGTGAGGGACTTAGACAACCAGGCAGTACAATACAGGATCTGAGGTGAGGCCTATACTAATCTCCAGAACTCTGAAATAAAATGCCTGCGTGAGGAACTTAGACATTCAGGAGCTTAGGTGTGAATCATGCAAAACTGTATTTTGATATATGTTCCATCATTCTTTGTAAAACTAGCTCTTATATGTTCTCCTGACTATTTGAGTGTTTTAATGTGCTTTTTACCTTCTTCTATGCTCGTTCTCTTACTGGTTTTTGTTGCTGTTAGGAATATAAATACGTTTTAGTGATGTCTAAGAAAGCATGTTCATTCCTCTTTAGATTTGAGGCATGTGGTTTCCTCCCATCCTCCTGTGAAGATCTCTCCAACATTATTACTGCAAGCCAATCTTTGAAATCTATTGACTTATCGTCAAATGACCTGCAGGATTCTGGAGTAAAACATCTGTGCCGGGGGCTCCAATATCAAGAATGTGCCCTGCAGGAGTTGAAGTACGAACTATGTCATGTAATGAGGGTGTTGGGGGTCCTTGTTTGGCAGTCTATAGTATGTAATTCAGTAGTCAAAGGTGGGTGTCTCAATATTGACTTCTACCATTTAGCATCACATGTGCCTGGACGTTGGGTGATGTTATATTGTTGCCTATTGAACTGCCAGGTTTAGTAGCATTCAGCTAGTTACTTTGCTTCTTTTCTGTTATTTCATCCTGCTTATTCCAGTCCAGTTGGTCAGTGGTACAATACATTTTGGTGAGTAAGGTACATATTTTTGCCGTCAACACAAAGATATGCAAGAGAGTTGATATTCCTGGTGGTGTTTGTAACAGGGAACATGATCTGTCAGTGCTGAAAGACTGGTCAAAGCAGTGGAAACTGCAAATCAACATTACTAAATGCAAAATAAAAATCTGATAGTGTACAATATTGAGGGCACAGTGTTTGCCAGAACTACAGAGGAAAGAGATTCGGGGGTGCTTCTTTCAAAATAATTACAAAATGAGCAAAAGATGTAGCAAGCCAGTAAGACAAACAAATAGAATTTTAAAGTGCATCACTTGAGGTATCATCAGCAGGAGGAACGAGGTCCTGATTCCTCTATCTTTAGTTATCACTAGAGGGATCATCAGTGGGAGGAAGGAGGTCCTGATTCCTCTATGTAGATCTTTAGTTATCACTAGAGTGATCCTCAGCAGGTGGTAGGAGGTCCTGATTCCTCTATATAGATATAACTAGAGGGATCCCCAGCAGGAGGAAGGAGATCCTGATTCCTCTATATAGATCTGGGTGGTAGGAGGTCCTGATTCCTCTATATAGATAGAACTAGAAGGATCCCCAGCAGGAGGAAGGAGATCCTTATTCCTCTATATAGATCTTTAGTTATCACTAGAGGGATCTCCAGCAGGAGGAAGGAGGTCCTGATTCCTCTATATAGATCTTTAGTTATCACTAGAGTGATCTCCAGCAAGAGGAAGGAGGTCCTGATTCCTCTATATAAATCTTTAGCTATCACTAGAGGGATCATCAGTGGGAGGAAGAAGGTCCTGGTTCTTCTATATAGATCTTTATTATAACTAGAGGGATCTCCAGCAGGAGGAACGAGGTCCTGATTCCTCTATATAGATCTTTATTATCACTAGAGGGGTCATCAGTGGGAGGAAGGATGTCCTGATTCCTCTATATAAATCTTTAGTTATCACTAGAGGGATCTGCAGCAGGAGGAAGGAGATCTCTAGTTATCACTAGAGGGATCATCAGTGGGAGGAAGGAGGTCCCGATTCCTCTATATAAATCTTTAGTTATCACTAGAGCGATCATCAGTGGGAGAAAATAGGTCCTGACTGTGCTGTATAGATCTTTAGTTATCCCTAGAGGGATCCCCAGCAAGAGGAAGGAGGTCCTGATTCCTCTATATATAGTAGATCTTCAGCTGTCACTAGAGGCATCATCAGTATGAGGTCCTGATTCCTCTATATAGATCTTTAGTTATCACTAGAGGGATCATCAGTGGGATGAAGAAGATCCTGATCCCTCTATATATAGTAGATCTTCAACTGTCACTAGAGGAATCACCAGCAGGAGGAAGGAGGTCCTGCTTCCCCTATATAAAGCTGTAGTTAGACCTCATTTAGAATACCGTGTCCAGTTCTGGATGTCTCAATTACAAAAGGATAGAACAAGTGGAGAGACGGGCAACAAAAATGGTGATAGGTCTGAGGGATAAAACATATCAGGAAAGCCTGCAGGAACTTAATAGTATAGGTATGACTGAGATATTTGAGAACATTAAGGGTTTTGTCAAGGGTCATGGACTGGGGCTTACCAAGGTGTATGGAATTTCTGGAAAATCTACTTTTCTCCTGTGAATCTCAGAACATTTGATTTCCTGGTTGGAATCTGTGAAAATAAACACAAATATTTTTCTTCAATCCGAAGGTTGATGTACTGTGGTCTAACATTTTCCTGCTGCGATGATCTCCGCTCCGTTATTGTTTCCAATCGAAATCTGAATAAGCTTCTGTTGAAAGGAAATAACCTGGGGAACTCCGGAATAAACCTTCTGTGGGAAGGACTCAAACATCCCAGCTGTACCCTGCAGGAGCTGAGGTGAGGATTAGTATAAATGATATAATAATCTGCAGGACTCTGGACCAAACCTTCTGTGTGAGGGACATTGAAGCTGGGGCTGAGGTTAGAATAATACTATAAACGATATGCTAATTTGCAGGACCTTTTTTATGAAGGACTAAAGCATCAGGGCTGTAGCCTGGAGGAGCATAGGTGAGAATTTTAGTTTAAATTATATAATAAATTGCAGGATAAAACGTCTGTATAAGGGACTCAGGCATCCAATCAGTACCCTGCAGGAGCTTCAGAATTATACTACAAATGATATAATAATCTGCAGGACTCTGGAATAAAACACTCAGTGTTGGTTTTGGACATCCAGCCTGTGACCTGAAGATGCTGAGGAAAGTCTACTTATTATCACAATACAATTTTGATGTGCATATTACTATTTTCCTGCAGGTTGGAGTCTTGTGGTCTGACAGCATATCGTTCTAATGACATCTGTTCCGTTATTACTACAAACCGGTCTCTCATCGAACTAGACCTCACATTGAATCATCTGAGTGGCTCTGCAATAAAACCCCTGTGTGAGGAACTTGGACACCCAGGCTGTACCTTGCGGGGACTGTGGTAAAAACTAAATTATCATTTATATTAACATGTCCCCGCCATTATAAATGTTAAAAAAAAACAAGCAGCTCTACCTGGAAAAGAAGAGAGAGAATACTTATCTTTCTCACCGGCCGCACTGCCAGAATGGCACGCCATTCAATCGAAATCCTCCTCAGAAGCTTGCTGGTAAATAGATACATCTCTCAGGGACCGTAACATACAGGGGTACAGGTACACATAAGAATAAGATCACACATGAACTCATACACATGTAGATGCACATGCATACATGCAATAGGTTGGACTTGATGGACCTGTGTCTTTATTCAACCTCAAATACTATGTTACTATGTAAATGTTTGTCTCCTTGGTTCACCAACCACCACTTTCCGCTTACCTCTACATCATTAATGTATCCTGTAGCGATGTGGAGGTTGGCAGGGGCAACCAACGAGCTTAACAGGAGATAATGCTTCTGGGGGTGTCCGTTTCTCAGGGCACTTCAGAGGAGGATCACTATTAAACAGTGAGCTGTTTTGGCAGCGCGGAAACGGGAAAGGTAAGTATTCCCTCTCTTCTTTTTCAGGTAGAGCTGTTTGCCTATTGTATCCTCGGTGACGGAGCCATTTTAATAAAGACTCTGGACTAAAACTTTGGTGTGAGGAAGGTGCTCTTCTGTTTTATTTTAAGGCTGCTATTCAGCCAACAGGAAATTGTCACTCAAGAGTAGCACAGACATGTCCCATAACAGGTAAATCATTTACATGTGATTGATTCTGAATACTGCCCTGTCTTTTGTGATATACAATTGTATCTCTAAGCTCACCAAAAGATATCACATCATCTTATGGATTGTTTTTTTCCCCCCCCTAGGATCACCGAGGAAGGCATGACAAAGAATTTGGTTCTGGATGTAGAAAAGGAAAAGCCAAAAAAGACATTTCTGCCGAAATGGTAATTATTATCTCAGCTATTCGATCTAAAAACTCCATCCTTTCTACCCGAGCAATATTCCGTGAATAGAACGCGGGGTACACGTATGCAATCACGGGTGTATAGGCAACGCTGAGAGATATCTCAACCTTGCCATGTTGTTCATGCATGGCGTTCGGTGTTCAGTCTCGTGTTATTAATTGTTAAAAATTTGATATTTGATTCCTTTTTTAACTTTGCTTAATTTGTCTGTGGACAATGTCAGAACCTAGAAGTCATCTGAGGTCTGACAGTTGTCTACTGCTTCATTTCATACTGATAACACGTGTAGACAGCAGTATCAATAACACCACATACTAGTCCAGATCTAAGAGAAAAAAAAGTTAGATCCACTTTAACTCTGCTTTGCCTTCTACCCATAGTACATCCTGGTGGTATCTCTTCCCCAGGTAAGCAACACACACGCACCCGGTCATCCACATGATGTAAAAGAAAACGTCATTCATCAGACCAGGCCACCTTCTTCCATTGCTCCGTGGTCCAGTCCTGAGGCTCACGTACTCATTGTAGACACGTGAACACGTGTCAACATGAGCTCCCTGACAGGTCTGTGGCTACACAGCCTCATACACAACAACCTGTGATGCTCGGTGTATTCAGACACCTTCCTATCAGAACCAACATTCACTTAATAAGCAATTTGATCTACAATAGCTCATCTATTGGATTGGAATACACAGGCCAGCCTACCCTCTGCATGTCCATCAATGAGCCTTGGCCGCCCATGACCCTACCACTGGTTCACCAGTTCTCCCTCCTTGGACCCCTTTTGGAAGGTCCTGACCACTGCAGACCGGGAACATCCCACAAGACCTGCAGTGTTGGAGTTGTCTGACCCAGTCATCCAGACATCACAATTTGGTCCTTGTCAAAGTCCCTCAGATCCTTCCACTTATCCATTATCTCTGCTTCCAACACATCAACTTCAGGGACAAAATGTTCACTTGTTGCCTCATGTATCCC